TTCTGTAGGATATGCGTGCATACAAATCCTGGTCTTCTCGTGATCACGCGTGCGTGGAGGCACGTTATCCTCAGCTCTCACGTGCGACCGATCGTATGATTTACAATAACTTTACAACGCATAATAGAAATGATAAACTCTAGAAATTTACCGAATTCAGTGGAAATCTGTAATATTGACACTCAAGGAACCATGAAAAATTGATCACAGTAAAAGTTAGTTAKAACAACCAAAATTTAAAATAAATTTATCAGAAAACAGTAAATGAACATTATATTATATTTCAATCACAAAATATTTTCTCAAATTAGATATGTATTCTAATAAAAAGTAAAATGTATAAAATTATTGTTATTTTTGTATAGGTATTCTTCTTCTTCTTCTTTTTAATCGCCTTCTCGTTATTTTTTTGTATATATAGTTTTTTATTTATTATAAAAACATGTCCCGGTTTTGTTTCTAATTTTAAAGTTTGCTTTTCAACTTTTATTATTGATAAGAGATAACCATATCATTTTACAAGATAATTTAATATTTTACTTATCTTGAAAAATTGTTCTCGTCGTGAATTGTCAAGATTAAATCCGTTATCAATATTATAATAAGTTATTTACTTAAAATTCACTAAAAATAAATCTAACGGCATCCAAATGGAGTTATTAGAAGAACAACCGATGAAAATTAGTATATAAACCATAAGACTTTACTTGCAATTTTAATTTTAGGTATTTCAATCAGGTTCCTAATATCTATCTTACACTGTGGTGTAATTACCGTAATAAAATAAAACAAGGAATTGMAATATAGACTTGTTGTATAGTTAGGTGACGCAATAATTGTCGTATGGTCTTTATTTTTTTAGCTCCACGCTGTTTAATATTAAAGTAATATAATATTTWTTTWAATATTTTTTTCCATCATTTAAACRCCTATAAAAACCTATATTTCATTGGATACGCTAGAGAAAAACTAATAATACGTTCAATATAATTCAATCATAACATCTCATAATATAATAATAATAATCTAATTATGGAGCTCTTTAAATGCCGATCTAGGAATACGCGTAGTTTCTAGGTATCGTATTTGAGTAGTATTATCTGTTTTAATAATATTATAGTGTTAAGCTCTAAAAGTAAATATAACTATGTTGTACTCACCTCGAGTGGTAAAGCAAAACGCAATCGCTGCGATCACAACGGCGAGTCGGACGATTTTGCTCGTCCGACCGTGTCCCTTCGGCATCGGAGCCGCCCGCATGTCTGGCGAAGGGCCTATATAATTATAGTCGTAAATCGTTCAAGTCAACCGAACTTGCGTGACGTTCTCGTCGCCGGCCTAGACAGTTATCGTGGTCGGTCGTTGTCCGACCGAACCAGTCAAGTCACTGTGGTCAGATATGTCTGTATCGGTGTCTGCTGCGCACATTGTATTCTTCCTGACCGCCTGTTGGACACAAAAACAAAAGCGAAAAACTATAAAACATAAAACGTAACAATCACACAAGACAATTTGATGTTTTGAGTACTGCAATGATTGGATGTGAACATGTGGGTGACACAAAAATGTTCACCGAGATGATTGTATATTATGAATTATGTATGGTCTAAATTGACTAAATCACGTTGTTAAGGTTCTGTGATATCATCGAACGCGCGGTTACGTAATTTATTATATTTTTATTTCACTATATTTACTTGAAATTTATTCCTCGTATTGTAAGCAATTAAAACAGTTCCCGCTGTTGTCGCGTAAGCCTAAACTGCTTACACCAAGTGAAAAATAACTAAACTCCAACAAAAAATCGTTTCCCGTGTAAATTACTTTCCTTTTATTTATAGCGTTTTTATGTAACGTCGTAACGAATATAATAGGTTTAAACGTATACTCGAGCATAATAACATACTTATGTGTTTGCGAAAAGTCCAATTTTTCTTTGCTGACGATTGATTGTCATTCCTTTTTATTATATACGTAATATATTATATATAATAATATAATGATATGCTACCTTTACATTTTTTTAACAAAAGTATATATTGCATAATAAATTGTATTTCARTTTCAATCGATACATTTTAGTATTAAGATATTGTTGCGTATATCTCACGGTTTTTTCTTTCTCGGTTTGTTATGAAATATTTTAAAAATATCAACTATTTTTTATGAGTATTTTAATAGTTATATTATAATATAAAGCATATTTTTCTTCACCCTCGCATGAATATGGTCAGCATGACCCATTATTTCTCAAAGAATAAAAATTAGTATTTTATACACAATCTATTAGAAAATAGTACGTTAAGAATACTGATGTATAAAGACAACCGTAAATAAATAATATACTTCGGGGTCTGATATGGCACGGTAGTTGATAGTAGTCACTTATTCGTAATGATTAATCTTCATAATAATATGTACTTAAGACAAAAAACACGATCGGGACTAATAAGAATAAAAATAAAGTAAAGAACAACTTTAGGGTCACAAGTTGGTTCGCCTGAGAGTGTGACGGGATGYCCTTAAGTACATGGCTCATAGATTTTTCTTAGTCTAAGTATTTCCGCATATTATACTTATCTCTATAGTCTATTTTACGTTTATCAGTTAATCTGTAAGTACAATCTTTTTGAAAT